CTGTGTCTTTATCTCCCCGAGCCTCTCCACTTCCCCGTTTGCAGGAGAACAAAGAGAATGCGCTAAAGCTGCTTTGGGATTTCAATGAAAAATAATGAGAATTCATTGCTAATTAGCGCTCCAATTAAAAAAACTGATCTTTGCAGTGACACTGTTAATGAACTTGTAAATTGCAGCTGCAGACTGGCATCCCTATAAACATTCCCTGGGTTGGTTCCATGTGTGTGTGCAGGAGCGGTGGGCGGAGGTGCTGGTGCCCAGAGCTGTCCAGGGCACTTGGGAAGTGGGAAATGCCAGGGCTGAGTGTGGGGAGCTGCTGAAGGCGAGGCTGAAGGCTCAGATTGCCGTGGCATTTGTCTCACAAAGTATTCGGCTTTGTGAAAAAGAAGAATGGTGATTCACTATGCGTTTTTTGGTCAGCCTTAATCTAATTAGAAGCCTCTTTATTTCCTTGTGTAGGACACTGCTGAGAGTGGCAGACAGTGCCAGGTACTCGGGGTGAGAGTGGATGTGTCACTGCCAACAGCCAAACGGGGTGGACCTGCACCCTTCTGCCCTCCCAGGGCACTGAAACCAGGCTGGGTGGCTGCCAGGGCCTGCCTGCACAGAGCGTGGGCTGTGGGCATGTGCTCCAGCTCCCAGGGCAGGGAAAGGAGCCTGTGGAGAATTAAATGAGAATGTAAATGTGCTGGGGGAAAAAAATCCCGTTGCTTTTGTCCCGCTGCTGATGCAGGTACGAGCAAACAGAGGCACACCCGGCCCTGCTGGAGGTCCAGCAGCCACGGCAGCCCCTGTGCCTGATCCTTCCTGCCTCTGTCCCGGCTCCCCAGCATTTGCAGGAGGCAACATCCCTCTGGTATTTTGTGCCAACACCCTGTTTTTGGCCCCTCCCTGGAGAACAGTGTGAAACCATAGGAGGACAATTAGCGAGGGGGTCTAAGACACTCCTGGAACCTGATCGGAGGTTGGAGATGGCAAAACATGGATAAAATTCATGTTAATTGTACCCATTTTCCTATGAACTAGCAATGAAACAGGAGCCCACACAGCGGGTGATGTTGGCAGGTGCCTCTGGAGATCACCTGCTCCCGTCTCTGCTCAGGATGCCCAGAGCAGGGAGCTCAGCACGGTGCCTGGTTGGCTTTGGAATAGGTCCGAGGATGGAGACTTCCTCTTGGAAGGAGGGTTGAAGAAAAAAGTACAGAGCAGTAGGGATGAAGTGGGACATGAACGTCAGGGGCGAAGGAGGGAAGTGAAGCATTTCATCCTCGCTCGGGTATTAATTTTTTCTCTTTCATCCAAATGCATAGATTTTATTTTGGGATGTGTGTCACAGCTGATGAGATCCATAATGGAGCCATTAGGGGCATCTCTGAACATGCACTTTTCCCACATATGAAAATACACCTGAAATTTTGAAAGATGGAATACTCATTTGCCAATTTAAAAAGAAAATGGAGAGAATGAGAGAGAGAGAGGCTCGTGGAGTTGTAAATCTTCACAGAAAACCAGTGGAGAAGCACATGTACGTTTAGAATGATGTTGACATTTCTGAAATCAGAGATATGGTGTTTTATCTAAATTACACCAAAGCCCTTCAAGATAATGTGCTGTGTAATGGCTGCAGTTGTAGGCACTATTTCATTTTCAATTTTCTGTACAAAAAGCATGATTCTTATCCACAATTCCAGCTCAGTGTTTGACAAATTATTAGCATATACTGCCCAGCTGCACCTAGGGTAGGGAGAGCTGTATTTGAGGGGAAGAGGCTACATTTCCCCCCTGCCCTGCACTGGCTTTGCCAGCATCCCATGTTATCCAGAGAGGAGGTGGAGGGGGCAAAGCTCAGGGTTGGGGAGTGGTGAGTGCCTCCTCCTCCTCTTGTGTGCACTCCTGCTTGAACCTCAGGCTTGGTGCAAGCCCCGTGTCCCTCCTGGTGTGTCCTGGGGCTCAGGGGGACCCCCAGACCTGCCAGGCACTGCAGTGACCCCGGGAATTCGGACACACATCCTGCACGGGCAGGTCGTGCTGCTTTGAAGGGTCCTAAAGCACTGCAGAGCAGTAGATAAGTCTGGACTGATGGGAGAAGGCCCTCAAGAGCTACTCAGGAGCCTCTGGAGGAGTTGCTTTGGTGTTTAAAAGTGGGCCCTGACACATGGCCGTGTGCCCCCCGTGCCAGCCGCTCCCTCTGTGGCTCTGGCTGCGAGTGCTCCCACGTGAGGCGTGTGCTGGGCTCACCTTACAGGGCTGTTTCCTTCTCTTTGGCATCTGGAGAGGTATAAATCCTTTTGGCACCCGCTTGGCATCAGTGGTGGTGCCGCTGGCACGGCCTTGTCTTTGCCTGGAAGCAAAGCACCATGAGCTCTGGAGAGCAGGATGCAGGTGAACCTCTCCTGGATCCTCAGGGTGGCGGGAGGTCCCTGTAATTCTGACCAGCTCCTGGTGCCCAGGGGTGTGAGAGGTGAAATAACTACCTGTCTTTGGGGAGCCTCCTCCTTTCCTGTGTGTATCCAAGGGAACCAGCATGTGCTGGAGCAGGATACTCTTGGAGAGGCAATGAGACAGTCTGACCCCCCCAAGTCCCTTGGCCCAATGCTCTTGTTTCCAGCACTGCTTGACCAATATTCTGGAAAAGTTTAGCCATGTGGGGAAGTCCTTTCCCAGTTTTGTGTGTCACAGGGCACGTCTGCAGGCGTGCTCCATGCTGGTGGTGCTGAGTGAGGGAGCCTGGAGCCCGGAACCGGGAATTCTGTTTAATTCCCATGCAAAGAGCAAGCTGCCCTGGCAGAGCTGGAAAGGGCCTGCAGATAAGTTCGATGGTAGATGCCATGGGCTTATCTAAAAGGCAGGATTCCCACTCCCATCCCTGGCTGTGATGGAATGGAGAGCCTGCTCCCTCTGCAGGGAGCTCCGGCTTCCGCTGCATGGATTTGTCCTCAGTGTTAGAGGGAGGAAAACTCCTTTCTCCTCCGAGAAGTCTCTTTTGAGATACCAATGGATAAAACCTGGACAGATGTTATTTTTTGCAGGGGTGCTTCCAGGTGAGTGGTCCTCAGCAGAGCGTGGGATGGAGGTGGAGCCGCAGCCGCTCCCAGCTGGGATCTGCAGAGCGGGAGCAGGACATGGCAGCACACCCTGTCCTCAGCTGGGCCAGGAGGGGTTTCATGACACCCATACAGCACCAAATACAAATGAAACTCTGCTAGGAAATCAGATTCGAGGAAGAGGAATAGTTTCCTTGGCAAGCCTAGAGCAGTGCTGGCAGCACTCAGGCTGGTTGCTAAGTGAGGGGGCAGAGCAAGGAAAGGGGAGCAGTGGCTGTGATTGTTGCTGCCTTAATAAATATATGCATTAAAGGCAATAAACCCATACTTTTAAACTGGGCAGGATTTGTGTGTTTGGAGACAGAGTAAGGGAACCAAGGTCAGAAGAGCCTTGGGATGCATCTCAGAGGTAATCTGTCTGTGGTCAAAATAAATGTCTTTGTTTCAGCTGGTCGCTAGGAATGAATATATAAGTATCTAAAAATGTGCCAGGGGTTTCTGAGCAAGGTTTGACTGGGTCCCTGCGCCCTGGCAATGGCAGCACGGCATCAGGAGGGGGGAACTGTTGTAAGGAACATTGCTGGCTTACAGGCAGTGCAAGGGAAATGGCTTTCAGTAATTCTTTCCTGATCCAGGTTCCCCCAGGATGGAGGCAGAGCTTCCCTTGGACTGCAGCAGGTGTGGGAGTGAGTCCTGCAATTGGCCTGCTGGAGGGGGCAGAAGGAAATGGGAATTGCAGTGTTTTGATCCTAGTTATGAGTGATTGATGGTATTTATTTGTCTTCACCAAATGTTCCCCAGCTCACTGGAGTTTGCTCTTTTGTACACACCCACCCAATTTTAGGGATAGTCCATGCTCAAACGTATCTGTCTGCTCAGTAGGAGGGACTGTGCTTAAATCCAGTGAAGAATCAGGTGCCAGAAGATCTTCAGAGAGTAGCTGAGGGCGTTTAAGCTTCATCCATCATTGCAGCATCACAAAAGTAGAAAATGCAGGGGGAGAATCTCTGGGGAAAAAATAAACCTGAGGTTTGAGCCTGTCAGGTCCTAGCCTTACACATGGCCTGAGGGTTGGTTTGAACTGGTTTGATTTTGACATGCAGCAAAGAACTTTGTGTTGGGGATTCCTGTAGGACGGTGAGATCACAGTTGGACATAACAGGGTATGTTAATACTCTGATTTGCCTCCTAAAGAAACCAACCTGGACAAAGCCAGACTCTCGTGTCTCAGAGTTCTGGAGAACACTTCTCTGGAGGGTTTGTGCCATTCTGGATAATCAAAATGATTAAGGCACACAGAGAACTTGCAAAGTAAGATCTCTCCGGGTCATTAGGCCAGACACTTGTGCAGCCAGAAGGGCTACGAAAATGGCCTGTGGTGTAAAAGATGATACTCTGAACTCCCTGCTATAGCTGGTACCCCTGTAGAACACTGTAATTTGATTTACTATTTGGTTTTCTGTCCTACAGTTGTTGGCAGCTTCCATACAGATCCCTTGTTTTAATGTTTATTTGCATGTTTAATTACTCTATAATAGCACAATAATTACCATGTAGCTACAGAGGAATTACATGGTTGTCTGTAGTCTGTAAACCAGTGTCAACCTCCTCTGCAAACAAATAATTATGCAGCTAACATACCTGTTTAACTTCCACAGGAATTAGCAGAGGAACAGGAGAAATGTGAAACATGCAGTTGCTGGGTTTGTCATTAAATATTTGTAATTGTTTTATGAGTAATGTGCAAAATTCTTTAGTTGCTTGATTTCTTTTCCTACCATAACGTTAGACAATACGATCTGGAACCAGGGAAAATAATGCTGTGGAATTAGAGCCTCTAAAGCTCTGTAACCACAGGCAGTGTTACTTCAGTGTTACATTTCGTTCTGCAGCCGCAGGTTGTGGTCAAACAAATGAAAGTGTTTCCAAACAACTTCCCATGTGCTCTGTGTGCAGCTGTGGATCCCGGGAGCTGTCCTGGAAGCAGGAGGGAAGCCACGAGGTGGCAGTGCGCCCCAGGAAATGGAGCGCTGCCGCCTGCCCGGCACTCCAGAGAGCAGGAATTCAGCCCGGAGATCCGGCTGCGGGGACACTTGGCCTCTTACAGGAGCTGAGGTAGGACTCCAAGCACCTTTTCCCTTTTAAGAGCGCCAGTTTGTTTTTCCAGGGCTAAAGAAGAAGCCGTAGGGGTGAACATCTCCACCTCCTGCATTGTTTCACGCCACTGAATTCCTTCAGTGTTTGCTTTAGCTTCAAACGCTCCCTGTGGATTATTGGGAAAACGTGTTGCCTTGTGTTTCCCCTTTCCTCCCGGGGGATCTGCTTCCCCACAGCCGGTTTCTGTACATCCAGTGTTGCTGGTGCTCAGGGGACGGGATATGGAAAGAGCATTCCAGATTCTGACCCAGCAACCCCTCTCCTCCCCTTTGCCTGGCTTGGGGTGGGGAATGTTTCCAGACCATGATCGAGGAAGGACTGTGTTTCTTGGGTACGGCAGAACCTACTGATGTGCTGCCCAAGCAATAATGTACTGGTGGTGGAGACAAACTGGTTTTATCCAGTGTAAATCAAGTGGCAGGTCTGGATTATCCCCAGGGATGCTGGGAAACAAAATCCTGCACAGTGCTTCCTCCAAAAGGGTGCCGAGTTTGTTTCCAGCTGTGTTGCTTTGGGGAGGGCAAAATGGGCTAAATTCAGGGTAGTTCTGGGTTCTCCTGGCACTGCAGGACCGGTGTGTGCCCGGCTGTGCCTGCTGCTGCACCTGGCACAGGAGAGGGCTGTGTGAGGCAAGGGATCCTGGTGGGATCCTGGTGGGGTGTTGGAGCAGCCCCTGGCCATCCCCTGCACTGGCCATGGCCTGAGGAACACCACCCACAAACCACTGCTGTCAGGTCTGCCACAGCAGACCTAGTTCATGCTCAGCCTCATTTCTCTGAGGGAAGGAGGATACTTGGCTCCCTGCTTTTTTTATGAAGTCAGCTCATTTATTTGCTCTTCAGAAAGCCTCTTTACAGCCCCTTCAGGACCAGTGGCGTGTGGCTCTGGGATGGGAGGCAGCTCCAGGGCTGAGTGCTGTGCCAGGACAGCTCTCCAGCAGTGGGGATGTCTGCAGTCCGACTCTGCAAATGCCCATCTGGGGGAGACAGCAGCAGAATTCAGAGTTTGGCTGTTACCTGTGTCCAGCCCAACCTGAAGCGTTAAGACATGTTGGTGCAGTGCAAGGGGAGTGTTAATCTGGCAGAACAAATGCTGTGAGTTATTGCTAATCTGGGGGCTGCTGATTCCCCCCAGAACGTGTCCCAGGCTCTTTGGGCAGGAGGAGCCCTGGCTGTTCTGCCTCTGGGCACCAGATGGCATCACGGCGGAGCGCTGGAAGCTGGCAGGGAGCACAGGCAGGACCAGGCTTGGCTTTGAGTTTTTCTGGGCATGGTTCCAGGCAATAATATCTTTTCCTACCAGTTGTGAAGGATCTGAACTTTGGTTCGCGTGAGAAGCTTAAAAAAGCAACTGTTTAAAAACTCGAGTCCCTCCTCTGTCCTGCCTGGTGCTCGAGGCAGTGCAAGGCTTCCGAGTGGGCACGAGCTGGGCGTGGGAGCCCTGAACCTGCTGGGCCTGCTGTGGGGCTGGGGCTCTCCCAAATGGACCTGGAGCTGGGGTCACTGCCTGCTCACTGACAGCATGAGGCCAGCAGGGCTCTAAGGACATCACGGTCCGTCCTGGCCACAAGGAGAGAGGGAACAAACACCTCAGAGCAGCACTGAGCACAGTCTGTACCCAGCTCTGGGCAGTGCTGCAGAGCCTCATGGCACGTCTCCCATGGCCAGCTCTGGCCACCTTCTGCGGGTGGTTCTGCCCCTCTGACCATTCTGCCGCGTTTTCCAAAATGTGCCGGTTCTTTTGCTGTTTGAGGATTTGTATGTGCAGTTGTAAAGCTTTGAAATGTGTGATGATGTCCCTCAGAAAGCATTTAAGTGTGAGGGTTTTTTCCTGTGGAACGAGTCATCCCTTTAATTCTGGCTCTCCAGAGATGACATTAGTGCAAAGCGAGGATGTTCCCTGCACAGCCCCTCGGAGGGGCAGGTAGAGAGGAGAGGTTGCACACTGCCAAGGTACCCCCGAGCTTTCAGCCACTTGATTTGAAACAAATGGTTTTCCTGTGGATTGATAAGGGCTGGGTTCAGCACAGGAACAAACAGCAAAGCCGATGTTCTCTCACACACAGTTGTGTCCCTGGAGAGGAAAGCGAGCTCCACCAGCCCAGATGATTTCCAAAGGAGTCGTGGGGCTGGGCGGGGAAGTCAGAGGCGCTTCCCTGAAGAATAGAGCCCGTAGTGTCTGCGCTGCAACACTGCTCCCCTTCTGTCCGTCTGTCTGTAGCTCTTTGTTATGTCAACATCTGTAGCTGTGAGTAAATAGCAGCAGGGCAGAATGCAGCTTGTGCTGCCGCAGCGCCGGCTGGGCGCGGGCCAGGGCCCGCCGGGGACTGTGCCACTGTCTGCGCCCGCCAAAGGCACCCACAGGGCTCCCAAACCCTCAGCTGGGATGAATGGGATTGCTGGGTGCTCCATTGACTGTGCAATCCGGAACAGCCTCTGGCAGTCCTGGGCAGAGGCCGGGTTGCTGCAGCTCAGCACCTGAGGCTGCGAGTGGGGCAGGGCACGAGTGCTCGTCTGGGTAGTCTGTGAAAAACGTCCCCGTCTTCTCTTGTCAGCTCCCATCAGGGATCTTTTGGGCTCTGCTGATTCTTATTTATAAAAATTGTAAATATTTGTGGTTGTATGAATGCTCAGAACTATTAGGAGAAGTCATTTTACCAGTAAGGACTGTGCAGTCCTGCTCTGCCTGCCCGGTGCCGCCTGCTCTCAGCCAGCCGTGGGCAGAGGGGCTGTGGAGCTGTGTCGGAGCGAAGGGGAGCTCTGTGGAACCAGGCAGTGAGGGAAGGGTGCTGCCTCCACCTGCAACCTGCTTGTAGCCAGGCAAGAAGCCAAAGGCAGAGGGTCAGGGGCTGCAGGGGGGAGCTGCTGTGATGGGCTCTCACGGGCCCCAGAGGTGCCGAGTGGGAGATGGACAGTGAGGGGCTCGCTGGCTCGGCAGCTCCCAGGGACCCCCGATTGTCACCAGCTGCAGGAGGGACACAGTCTGGGAAGATGCCTTCCCTGAGCACT